TGTCCCTGATTCTCAGCTTACTTCCTTAAAGATTTTGGAGAAAGAATTTCCCCTCAGGTGAAATCAGGGTCTCCCTCTTGATTCAAGGTGAGAGCTTACCTCACTCCCATCAGAACAGCTCATTGACCTTTGTGCAGTTTTCTGGTTTATTCCTATCTGTACAGATTCTCCAAATTCTATTTGATGTTTTATTTGGATAAATGGGTTTCCTTGAGTTTGCTATTTGGGATGGTCTTCTATGTAATCAACATTTGGCCAGAAGGGACCAAGCTGGCAGGGATAAGCTGCGGGCTGCCTTCCTCTTCTGAAAGCTAAAGACTAGCAACTGGGGAAGCAGCTTTTGTTTTAAATCCATTGTGCTACCAGACCAAAAACATATAGCGTGGCAGTTAGATATGACTCTAGTCTAGTACCCTTCTTGGAGGTGAGAGAAAAGAGCATCTCACCATGTTCCTTCTCCTGCTCCCCTTAAGGCAAAAATCATAGTCTCCCTTGGAGAGGTATGGGATAGCTTTGTGTATGTGTGTGTATGTATGTGTGTGTGTGCGTGTGTGTGCACACATATGACATGTGTGTATGTCATGTAACATAACAGGACCAGGCACAAAGGAGCTTTTCCTCCTTCCCCATCCTCCCTATCAATGCTCCTTTCCTCTTCCTTTCTTATCTCCCATTCCCCACCCCATTCCTGGAAGAGTCTCTATTTTACTCCAGGCCTCCTAGATCCCACCTCCACCTCACCACATCACTATGCAGACATAGCTGCTCCCACCTCTTGAATGAACAGGGAGTTGCCGACTCTCTTTCTTCCATTAAGTTGGAGGATCTTTGAGTCTTACCATCTTTGCTGCCACTATACGTTTCAGGTCCTGGTTCATTGCCCTTTGCTCATGACACCTGCCAATGTATCCCAAGTAGATTCCCTCTCCCCACAGCTGAACCCTTTTTATACATTGTCTCCCCGAATCAGAATGAGAGCACAGATCATCTCCCCTTTCTGTTTGTATCCCCAAAGCTTAGCGTAGTATTTGGTACATTGAAAGTGCTTAATTAAATACCTTTTTTCAATTATTCCAGCTCTGCCTTGGGAAACAAGATGGCAGGATGACCAAGAATAAGTCATTGATCCTCTCAGTGCCCCAGGAAACTCTCCAAGACTGCTACAGGGAAGGAAGCTTCCACACTGGGAGTCCCCCACAGAAAAGAAATTCTAGGTTGTACCTTACTCTCACCCTTAATGTTTCTATAGATACATGATCTCACTGGGGTGTGTGTGTGTGTGTGTGTGTGTGTGTGTGTGTGTTTGTGTGTGTGTGTGTCTGCGTGTCTGTGTGTGTCTGTGTCTGTGTGTGTTCTCTGTACTGGCATCAGTAGTGTATGAAGTAAGAGACAACCTAGGTTCAAATCCTGACTCTTTACTATTTTTGTGATCTTTGGTAAGTCAATTAACCTCTCTAGGCCTCTCTTTCCTCATTAAAAACTAGATAATCCCCCAAATCCCTTTAAAATGTAAATGTGTAATCATGTGTAACCCATCTGTTTCTTCTCATCTTGTGTAATTTTTGCCTATTTCCTTCCATAAATCTTCCATAGTGTCATTTCTCAATATGCTGGAGAAAGCTTCCTGTGGGTGCTTTGACATTTCCTCACTACCAGTGTAACACCTGGGCTGTCCATCTGTCATCTCTCCCCCTCACTCTGTGATGGGCCACCCTCCTCTTAGGGACAAACATGTTTGTGAAAACGTCCTTCAAGCTACTTTTTACCTGAACCATAACATGGATGCAACCATACTGAAATGAGCAAGGGGAGCTGACGAGGGAACCGGGGTCTAAGGGATGGAGAGCTGGCCTCCGCACCAGGAAAACCTTTGGGTCAGGTGCTATCTCTGATACATCCTGGCTGTGGGATATGGTGTCTAAGGGATGGAGAGCTGGCCTCCATACCAGGAGAACCTTGGGTCAGGTCCTATCTCTGACACATCCTGGCTGTGGGATATGGGGTCTAAGGGATGGAGAGCTGGCCT